TTTTTCCTTTTTCCTTATAATAATAGACTAATTTTTGCACTTTTGTTATTGTCCTCAGCTTAGTAAAAAGATTGAACCAACCTCTCTTGCAATTGGTTTCAACTTGCCTAGCTACTTAATTCAAACATTGTAATACCCTTACCTTATATTGTACCTTTTTGGATCACTTTGCATACATTCATTTCACTGCTATATCGCCAAGCATCTTCTAGGAAATATCCAGCTAAATCCCTTCTTTGAAGGTTGTCCTTTTCCTTTGCTGTCTCACCTTTTCTTATTATCAGACACAATTTGGCTTGCAATTGAGTGAGTAGATCTGCCGTTGCTTCCAATTTGCTTTGCCTAACTATTTCGATTATTAGTGTTCACTTTCTTCAATTTCTTTCATTGAACTTGCTGGTATACTATCAATCAAGATATTCAATCTTAATTCTAAACGTTTATGTTTTCTTTAAAGTACGTATTAAATAAAAATTATCTAATTTTCTTTGGATGAGTGACTTTTTTTTCAATATTTTTGTTTGATTCTTTAGTTTTAAATTGTATCTTAACAAATTATTAGATTCTTTTATCTTCAGATTTCCTTTTACCTAACTAATCTGTAATTACTTAACAAATCTTTTGAGTTATTCTTTTATTGATTGTATTTGCATCCTGTTCTACTTTCAGGAAATATTGGTCAATCTCACTGTTTACAAAGAAATAGGCTTGCAACTAAGCAGATCTACTGCTGCTTGTAATTTACTTGGTTTAGTTTGGTCATCATCCTTAATTTCTTCAATTTCATTTGTTAAACGGTAAGTCTACTATCTAGATCTTTAATCTTGATTTGCGTAAGTTCAAAACATCTTCTTCGCCGGCGCCGATAGATTCTGAGTTCCTGGGCACCGGTTGACTCTGGGTACTTAATTCAACTGTAAATTAACATTAATAATAGGGAATTCATGGGGTTTTTTGACTGAAAGAAACAAGAAATTGATCACAAGTTAGAAAAATTCATCTCTACTTCAAACCCTAATTTCAATCAAACCCAATGTCGCTACCGACGCCGCCTAACAGAATGTGGTAAAGTCCACCCTTCTTCGAGATGATGGCTAGCAAACCCAATATCCAACTTGAGTTTTGGTTTGCTTAGATGTCAGATATGGTTCAGGATGCATGATGCCATTTTTCTGAATGGCAACCAATCTCATACTAATAACAGAGAAAAATAACTTTTTTGGGGTGAAAACAGAAAGTAACTTCAAAAAAAATCAATCTTTATAAAGAAAATAACATAATTATCCCTTCCCTTAGTGATTTTAGAAGAAGAACGGAAAAAATGTCCGACCTTAAAGAGCCATATGCCCTCTACAAATTCTGAGCAACCAAACAAAACATTTTCCACTCAAATCTTTTGTTTGGTTTCGTCATGAAAGTGAAAATCCAAAAATGTTTAACGTCTTGGTTTTTCTTTTTCATTGTTAACCAAACCCAAAATTCATCTCTACTCATGATTCATCCAAGAGTTCGCAATGGAAGGGGCAGGAGAGAGGAGCAATAGGAGAGGAAGAAGAGGCTAATATGGTCTTTTCATCATTTGTGTCTAAGTTTTCCATAAAAAGCAATTTTTCAATATATCCAAATAAGTCCCCATTTTTCATGGCAGTATTTTTATACAAATTAAATATAATTTTTACATATCTTCACATGTCAGCATATCAATTTAAATTTATATCTGACTAAATAGAGAAACAATACCAAGTAAGCACTTAACCAAAAAGAGTCAAAAAATTAATTTTAAAGGACCACGGACGAAATTTCTTTAGTTGAGAGACTGAGAATAAGAAAAAGCTGGGTATAATAATTGAGAAACTAAAAAGGAATTGATCAAAAAATAAAGACTAAAAAAGAGTTTATCTTTTCTTAGTGATGATATTTAAATCACTCATATTTTTCTTGCAGAAAATATCCATCAACTTCAACTCCCTCATCTGGAATAACCCGGGTTGCAGATTTGCTCCTACATTTTATTTGCTTTGGCCCATCTAAATTGGTTGGTATAAGTGTCCAAAATACTTCAACTTCTTCCCTAAGGTAATAATTGCTTATTTATATTATATATGTTACCAGTTGAGTTGATATTTATTAATTTAAAATTTTTAATTTAAAATTAAGTTAAAAAATTTAAATTTCTTTAATATTAAATAACTAATCTTTCAATATATATGTATATATATAAAATCTCTGAGGTATAAAATGAAATAGAAAATATCCTAGTGAACTTATATAGATCTACAAATCATTAGCTTATTATTCTGTCTACAATCCATTCAAATCAGATTATCAAAATAAAAATAGGGAAAAAGGCTAATGAGAGTAATAATTAATAGAAAAGGCATAAAAAAATGCAAATGAAAATAATAAATAAATTATTGATTTATGTTACTTTCATAATTTTTCATATAAATTAATAGTAAAAATGTATAATAAATCTACCCTTAACCTTGGTCAATGAGCACAAATTAAAAAAACTATTTTATTTTTGGTTTAGATTTTGGTAGTTGCAAAATTTGTCTATTCAAGTGCTAATTCAAGCTAAATTTTTGGTTATTTGAGTTAATATATTTGAACCACAGTCTAGGGGCAAAATCCTAGTTTAAGGCTTTATCTTATTAGATTTGTAAGTTTTAGCCTTTCACCTTATACTATAACACTTTTAATCCTTTACCTATTAGAATTAAAGAAAATAGCTCTCACTTATAACATTTTGTTAATTCTATTAACTGATTGTTAATTCTATTAGCTGACTATTAATTGATTATTAATTGATAAAAACTTACTCTCAGCTAATAGAGTTAACAGTCAGTTAATAAAACTATTCTATTAGCTGATTGTTAACTTTATTAATTGATTATTAGTTGATTGTTTGTTGGCAAAAACCTACTTTTAGCTAATAAAATTAACAGTTAAATAACAAAGTTAATAATCAATTAACAAAATTAACAAAATATTATAAAATGAATAGAGTTAACAGTAGGTTTTGAGTGTTTACTTTCAATTTCCATAAATTTTATAACTACTAAGAATTAAAATAAAAAATAAAAAAATAAAATTTATTTAAAATAAATTTTAACATTAATGACAGAAAATATAAACTTATTTAATATTATTAAAACTGTTTTTTTATTTTTTATAATAATTATGATGATATGTTATAAAAACATATAAAAATAAATTAATTTTTTATTTAAAGTTACAATATTTATGAAAATAAAGTCAAAAACATAAAACCATAACTACATTAAATGGAGCCTAAAATTTTAGTTATTTGAATTAAGTTAGTTAACTTGCTACCAAATTTAACAGAACTAACAAAATTTAAACCGAATTAACCAAATTATAGTGAAAATTTTAAAGCTTAAGAATTGAATGAGGTCTTGAACTTTCACTAAATTTGCAATTAAGGTCCCAAAGTTCTATTCAGCTCAAATAAGGTTATTAAGTCATCAAAATTGTCAAATAAGGTGTCAATCAGACAAAAGCTAATAGGCCTATTAGATTACTCATTATCGTTGTTAACTTTAATCAATTTAATTAATATCCAAAATCATTCATATTTTTTCTATTTTGTCTTTCAATAACCTCAAAATACACCTAGAACCTTTTCTTTCTTTTTTTTTTTTTTTTTTTTTTTTTTTTTTGTTGATATGGCAATTTTATGGGACCTACAACTTAATATTAAATTTAATTAACTTAAATAATTTACTAATTAACTAATGAATGACTTCATTAAACATTAGTTAACTATCAACCAATAATCATTAATGGTAAAAATTTAGTTTTCAATTATCAATTAAATAACCTAATCTTTTATTTTATTTACTATAAAAATGATGATGAATTTGTGATATCTCAATAATACTCCCTATCCTTTGTTCTTTTTGTATTTAACTAATTGATATAATTTGTTTTTTGCCATTCCAAAAAATAATAATGCAATTTTTTTTTTATAACAGGCCACATAAATGTCATATAAATTTAAAATAAAAAATTAATTTTTAGTTATTGGTCCTACAATATAGCCACGTCAACAAAACAAATGAGTTTAAAGAGCATTTTGAGGTAATTGAAAGCTTTAGGGTCATTAAAAGATAAAATAGAAAGGCTAGGGACCATGCACTTCGGATATTTAACCAATTAGAATTAATGACGTTAATGACCTATGTAATAGATCTAATAAATTCAGTCCAATTTGGACATTATTTCGGAACTTTATTTGAGCGCAATAGATCTCGGGACCTCAGTCGTGAATTTAGTAAAAGTTTTGGACCTCATTCAATACTTTAGCCAAATTTTAAATGTGCGGTTTTGGTTAATTACGATACCAACCCAAATTAAATTGAAAATTTTCAATTAATTAGCCTAATTCTGAATCATAAAGGTGTTTGACAACATGTAACCCAAAAAAAAAGTGTTTGACAACACAACAAGTATAATTAACTGAATTTGTTGATTATTAACGACTCTAATTGGATATATAGTCACCTAGATTTAATAGTATTAGATCTAAAAGTTACTGTCTAATTGTGATCTTATTTAAGAATTTCAATTACTTCTAGACTTTATTTAAGCTAAATAGAACCTTGAGACAATTACAAATTTAGTGAAAGTTTGAACCTTCTTCATGATTTAAGCCATTAGCATATTTAATTTAATTGGATAAATATCTGCAGCTAAACATAGAGGCCAAAGGAATCAAATTGGTATTTCAACTAGCTTACTCATTTTTATAATATATTAGTTGCTTGTTTCCCATCTCCTTCGGTTAATGTATGGTTTTATACCTCCTATATATGGTTGGAATTAGTAATTTAATTTTACTTTTTTTTATTAATTTATGCTTCAAATTTTCTGTTGATGAATACTAGAAGAAGTATATTTTTATCCACATTATTTATTATCTCTCAGGACCGTTTTAAATGGCGGACATAGCAGGGGCAATCTTCAGTGCATTAAGTTGCATTTGTGGTACTCTAAATTGCAACTGTATAGATCAACATAGAAATTTTAATGATGATGTGGGTGAGCTGAGAAGAAAATTGGACAGTCTAACTAGCCGGAAGCAAGATATAGAATCAAGAATACAAGTAGCTGAGGCTTGCGGGGGACAAATGGTTGGACAACAAGTGCAAGAATGGCTTAAGCAAGCACAAGAGATCAATGTTAAAGTGCGAGCATTTTTAGAAAAGGTGCAGGGAGTCAAATGGTACAAGCGTGCCTGTCTTGACAAACGTGTTTGCAGAAAAATTAATGTGGTGAAGGAAATGCTTGAAATAGGTTGTTTTCCTGAAGGCCTTGTTATTGAGAGAGCTCCAGCTCGTGGAAACATAATTCCAACAGAGAATTTAATGGGGGGAATTTCTACTAAAGAGGAAATTTGGGAGTACTTGATGGGTGATGAGGTTGGAATGATCGGAGTTTGTGGCATTGGTGGAGTTGGAAAGACTACAATCATGAAGAATCTCCACAATGATTTACAAAGGGAGACTAGATTTCAAAAAGTGATATGGGTCACTGTGTCACATCCTCTCAATGTTTTTAAATTACAAAAGAAGATTGCTAGTGCTATGTGCGAAAGACTTCCCGAAGATGAAGAGGTGATGATGCGAGCAGCAGCACTAATGGAAATAATGAGAAGAGAGAGATTTGTGCTAATATTAGATGATGTATGGGAAAGGTTTTCTCTTAAGGATGTTGGAATTCCAGATCCAAAGGCGCAGAATGGGTGCAAAGTAGTTGTCACTAGTAGATCGATTGAAGTATGCAGTTATTTGCATTGTAAGATTGTTAAAGTGCAACCTCTTTCACAAAAGGAGTCTCTAAAGTTATTCCTCAATACAGTTGGAGATGGTGTTTTAGAAGTTCCAGGGTTGGAAGAAATCTTGAAGCTTATTGTGAAAGAGTGTGCTGGCTTACCACTAGCCATTGTTGTGATAGCTGGGAGCATGAGGGGAGTTGATGATGTTAATGTGTGGAGAAATGCACTGACTGAATTACGAGATCATGTAATGAGTGTGCAAGATTCAAATGATGAGATATTTAAGCAATTAAGGTTTAGTTTTGATCGGTTGGGTAGTTTGGAAGTCAAGAATTGTTTTCTTTATTGCTCCTTCTTTGAGGAGGATTATGTGTTTTCTAGAAGAGAGTTGATAGAAAGTTGGATTGATGAAGGATTAATTGATGGGTTGCCAAGTAGAAAAGCGGCTTATGATAGGGGATATGCTATTATAGATAGGCTTGAAAAAAATTTCTTATTAGAAAAAGAGACTTCTGGGCCTATTGCGATTGGTGGATATGGATTTGATGTGGATGGTGCTAAGATGCATGATGTAGTGAGAGATATGGCCATCATAAGCATTGGTCCTGAATTTGGATATATGATAAAAGCTGGTATGAATTTGGTAGAGCTACCAAATGAGCAAGGTTGGGTAAAAGATCCTAAAAAGTTGTCTCTAATGGCAAATAACATTTTAAAAGTTCCTCTTAGTCTGTCCCCAAAGTGTCCAACCCTTTCAACTTTGATATTATCAAGTAATCTAAATTTGTCAGAGATTCCAGAATCTTTTTTTGGCGAGATGCTTGCTTTGAAGGTTCTTGATCTCTCTTACACTGCTATTAAGACCCTACCTAATTCCATCTCTAATTTGGAGAATCTATCTGCTTTGCGATTACAGCACTGTATGAAGTTAAAATACTTGCCTTCCTTAGTGAACCTTAGGGGATTGAAGAAGTTGGACCTACATGGGGCAAGGATTAAGGTGTTCCCTCAAGGCATGGGGAAGTTGATAGGTCTTGAATATCTTGATTTGTTATTTTGTCCAAATCTGAAAGAGATTCCAACAGGAATATTACCTGACCTTTCCAATCTGCAGTACTTGGCAGTATGTTGTTTGCAAGAAACTACAATGGTGAGAAATTTAGAAGAGGTTGCTAGATTGAAGAAGTTGGAGACTTTAGAATGTAAATTTGATGACATACGAGACTTCAATTATTTTGTCAATAAGTTCAAAGATTTCCAAAGTGCTGCTGCTTACAGTCTTATGGTTGCTCGTGCAGAAGACATGATTAGAAAGAGCAAATATGAGCTTGTAATTGCTGATTGCGAGATCGGGGAAGAATGTATAGTGCTTCCAAATAACCTTGAGGATTTGTGGATAATTGATTGTAAAAACATGAAAAGCAGCTTAGACAAAACAGCTTTGTTAGAAAAAGCAAATGAGTTGAGGAGGTGCCATATTAGGGATAGTGAAGAGATAGAGTGCGTGGTTGAGTTGGACTCATCCTCTTCCTCCTCATCATGTTGTCCAGTACTTAATAAGCTTGAACTGTTGGAGCTTTGGGGATTACATAGGTTGTGTGAACTTGTGAGAGTGGAAGGAGTAGCAACACCACTGCACGTCTTTTCCAATCTTAAACAGCTTGATATAAGTTACTGTCCGAGGATGAGGAAGTTGCTTCCACTTGAGCTATTGCAGGCCCTCCAAAACTTAGAGACGATTTATGTTGATGACTGCGAACAAATGGAGGAGATAATAGCATCATCGGATTCAGATACATTATCATCAGATAAATTCACTTTCACTTTTCCTAAGTTAAGGATATTGCGCTTGTGGGACTTACCCCAATTGAAGAGCATCTGTAGTGATGAAGGAGTTGTGGTTTGTAATTCTATTGAAAAAATTGCAATGAGTGGATGTTCGGAGTTAAAGAGGATCCCTGTGCAACTTTCCCAGCTTGATAACGGCCAACCATCTCCTCCTCCTCATCTTAGAGTGATCGAGATAGGTGAAGAGTCAAAAGAATGGTGGGAATCAGTGGAGTGGGATCATCCTAACGCTAAGAACCTCCTTCAACCTTTCTTGAAATATTCAAACAGTTGGTGGGACTGAGGGTAAGGTATTGATTGATTTACTACTATTTAATTCTAATTTGAATTTGATTTGATAGTATATTATTGTAAGTTACTGAAAATTTGGGACATAATTTGTGTAGTGTGAAGCGAAGAGCTGCAAATTGCAAATGCAAAGGTAGTTGTTGAGTGGATAAATTGTAACTTTCTAGAAATCAAAGTCACGTGCCAATAAAAGCTTTTCCTCAATTCCTTCATTCTTCCCCCATCGAATACAATTGGGTATTCTAGAAGAGAAAGAAATGGACGTGTCTGAGATGGAAACCTTAAGTGGGTATAGTCTGGAAGACAAAGATATACAGCCTTTGCTCCCTCGCAAACTCGAATCAGTAAGTGTTTAGATTTTACTATCTCTATTTTGACTTCATTGTAACTTTATTTAGTTTTTGTGTTTAGATTCATATTCCACTTTTCTCTTTTAACAAGATAAAACTGTGGGGGATAAGATTGTCGAACATCTATGGTTGAAGGAACATTAATAGTATGCCTTTATATATATATATATTTTTTTTTCATTTAACTTTATCTAGACAGTCTTTTTTTTTTAAAAAAAAATTTCTATCATTTACAATCTTGTGTTATTTTAGTTGCTAAAAGAAACAATATCTGTGTAGTTCCAGAGAAATCATCAAGTTTCCAAATAAATCACAAGCCACTGACAACGTGTTCCAGTAAAAGCCCTTACTCAATGACGGAAAGATTGGCTGGAAAATTACATGCTGAGCTAAAGAATCAGATGTCAAAGAAAGTGTTAGACATCCAAACACAAGGTATTTTGACATCCAAACAATATCTCTTCATTTTCTTTTGCTTCTTAATTTCTATGTATTCATAAGGGTTTTATTGAATTTTTTTGTTTTATATTTTGTTCTTTTTATAATTTGGTTTTGGAGTATGCTTGGCTAAAAATGTACCCCCTTTAATTACCGGGTAAACTAGATCTAGTAAGGCCTCAAGGAGAGGAAGTTTTTAGGTTCTGGGTATGCTTTTTGGGTTCTTAATCTAAAAGCTTTGTATGAGAGAAAGTTTCTGATAAAAATTGGTATCATTTTCAGGTTTCCTACAAAACTTTTTGGTATCATGATCATGAATTCTGCAAAGAGGTGAATTTTTCCTTTCCAAGAGTGTAGTTAAAGTTCACATATTCAAGTTAAAGCACGGACACACATACTCATGATTGTTATATGTTTAGGTTGAAGAGTTTGATTGAAAAACATGGCAGTGGGTTGGAAAAATTATTTTGATTTTTATCTTTTGGGTGACAATACATATCTTGGTTATTAAGCTTAAAGTTTTGTACAAGAGAAAGTTTCTAACAAAAATTAGCTTCATTTTTTGGCTTCCTATAAGTAGCTAAGTCACTTCTTTTTGGTGTCATGATTTACTATTTGTTTAGGTTACTTGTGGAGCTTGCTTGGAAAACATGGCAATGGGCTGGAAATGGTCTATACTTTGTCTTGTTGGTTGATGAGCAGTCCTTCAAGTTACCATATAAAGCTTCTTAGTGGAGACTTAAACTCACTGGTTAGATTTTCCTTAAAAATGGCATCTCATTATGAAAAATTTTCTTTTGTTAAGTTATTACCTTTACTTTGTATGATGGATTAGCCCCAATCCAAACTTCTTAACCCCTTCCCCAAATCCAAATCCAAATGTGTTTTAGGAGTACAGTGCATCAATTGAGTACTACTAGGCTCCCTTCACGAATCTGATTCATACCATGCAACATATCACATTGTCCTAACATGACTGGTGAACCTTGCTGCCATAGCCAAACATGGCAAGAGCTATGAAGGAGTTGATGTGTTGGTGTTTGAGAGCTATGTCTAATGGATTCCCAAGTGTAACAAGCCTTAATCAATGCTATGTAAGTTTCCAATTTTCAATCTAATGTTTTCTATTCCATCCAAATTCTTCTAGATTTTCTGAACCTTGCTGCCACAGCCAAACATGGCAGGAGGTAGGAAGGAGTTGATGTGTTGGTGTGTGAAGCTATGTCTGGTGGATGTACAAGTGTAACAAGCTTTAGATCAATGTTATGTAAGTTTTTGGTTTTTTATCTAAGGCTTTCTATTCCATCCAAATTCTTTTGGTTTTTGCACTCCTAGAGCAAAATTTCTATTTAAAGATAACATTTTGGAATCCAACAAGTTAATCTAAGCTCTAATTTCTTCCTAAGTTTCATTTTCATTTTTGTTTTGTGTTTTTCTATCAGTTATGGAATTCTTGAGATTGTTCAAAAATCTAATGTGACAACTACTTGTGAATTGAGAAACCTTGGCAAATTGGTTAGAATCCAACTTCAATCCTTTATGTCCCCAACACACTTGTGGTATGTTTCACTTGCTGTTTTCTATTAAGAAGTGTCCCAAATCTATGATAATATAGGGAGCTATCAAGTTGTTATAAATCCTCTTGATGAAGTAGGAGGAGTTAATCCTCTTTTCTTTGAAATTTATAAGATTTCTTTTTTCAATGATATGATTATGATTATTGATCACTGATTGTGAATTTGTAGAACCCTTCAAAGGCTTTCACCTCTTCCTCCAAAACCAGTTGCTCTCAACCATGGTTGGGATGCAAATCATTATGTACCTCTTGCTACAGTTACTAGACCCAGTTTTAAGGTTAGTGTTTTTGCTTAAGTCCATCTCCATCCATACCACCTCCCACTTGTTTTATGAAATTTAGCAGTGATTATTGTTTTCTGATTTATATTGTTCAAATTATCTTAGGAATAGGCCAAGACAGTTGAACTAACCAGCAATAGGAGGTATATCAAGAAGATTGAACTTGTGAAACATGAAGACTTTTACAAGCTTCACTATCTGTTTCTTTGGGGATATACAATACAAAAAGTGAAGTAGGAGAGAAAAGGATTTAGGAAGAGGTAACTTGCATTTTATGTTATGTAAGTTTTCACTTAGTGGCTGGTTTCTATTTCCTTTTATGGTCTATTAGCCTTTCATTCATGCCATGACAATCTAGGACTTGCCTTGTGATTTTTTGTTTTGCAGATTGGCCGCCATTTGCCCCAGTTGTTCATAATGATATTGCAAATGATATGCTGATTTATTGACAAAAGTTGATGTTTATTGCCCTTCCATCATGCTTAGGTATGCAAGCTTTTTGCATTTTTACTTTTCGTTGTGGTTATTTTAGCCTTGCATTTTGGTGATTATATTTATTGTCTAAATACATACAATTGTATACATGATGTTATTTATAGTTATCGATCAATGTCTCTATTGATATATGTTATGATTGGTAAATGTATTTTTTTTCCTTATGCAGGATTGGTTCTGTGCTTTTTCTGGAATGACATAACTGCTACTTCAGCATGCATCAAAGGGGAAGGATGGAAGCCATGCGATAATAAGAACTGCTACAAACGAGACCTATCCAATCTAAGAAGCATCATCCTGGGGAAATCATGTCTTCCCATCATGGTGACAGTTCGCAACATCTTACAAGAACTAAAGATCAACCATTACTGTTTTGAAACAAATGCACAATTGTCAGAATATCAAAAACATGTTCTTATATCTGTTTATGACTTATGGTGAACAGAAGGGAAAAACCCTTGACAAAAAACAAAGATTTGACCCTAAAGATTTTGCTGATTGTGTTTTCATTGGTTCTTACCGAGACTACCTAATACATGGAATGAGATTATGTATGTATATTTGTTTAGTAGTTGTAAAAATCTTCGTGATCTATTAAACTTCCTTTTTGGATATCTAATAACACACTTTATACCTGCGTACCCTAGACTCTTTCTAAGCATTGCTTCACCTGTTTTCTTTAGGTCATTATCCTGCTTTTACAAAAAGTCAAAAACTCAGAAAGTATAATTTATTATTTTAAATAACTAGAGTAATAAAAATTAGAATTTTTTCTCAAAATTATTGGGGGAATGGATGTGATTATTATTAGTATAAGAAGTGTTAAAGTTATTAATTTTTATTTTTTATAAATAGTGTTTAAAAATATTAATTTATTGATTAATTTTAATTTATTAATTAATAAATATTATTTTTTATATTAATTATTAATGAATAATTATAATTATTCATTAATTTTATTAATTAAATTAAATCAAATTAATATTTTAATATTTTATATTTTTTAATGATCTTAATATTTTACTTTGTTGTCATAACATAGCCCAAAAAAGATATGAATAGATTTAAACAGTCACTTTTAATGATATACCATTTAATTATTATTAACAAATTGTAATTTAGTGGATTTGCTCCTTCTTACTGATTTGCCTTTGCCTACAATTCAGCGGTTATTGTAAGTTTCCAATTTCTTCAATTCCTTCTTCTAAATCTGCAGGTAATATATCATTTCTTTTGCTACGTTCTCTTTGAGGTATAAGAAGAAATGCAAAATATATAAAGTGAGCTTATAAATACAAATAACTAGTATGTATCAAATTATCAATCTCTCTTTATAGTCCATTTTTTCACCTCAAATTGGATTATCAAAATAAATTAAAAATAGACGAAATGCAAATGAAAATAATTAATAAATTATTTATATATGTAAGTTGCTTGCACTAAGAAGGATATCATTCAATGGATGATAAATTTTTTGTCACGCCCCAAAACTCAAATTCGAGGCACGACAGACGCCGTGCACTTGTGAGAGGATCCCACAAATGTACAAGATTCGAAACTTATCATACCACAATTTGATACCATCAAAATCTGAAAATCAAATTTTATAATTTGCTCTAATATCATAATCTCCAATAAAGTCTAGTTTAAAAGATCATGATTTATTTTTAAAATCTATATCAATCTCGAAATGGCTAGCCTTCTAACTCGTCACTCCCCTCGTTTTTCCCCGTCCTTGACTTCGCTTCCTGAAATGATAGACAAGGAAAAACTATGAGATAACTCAGTAAGTAAATATGGATAGCCCTTATAATTAAACTTATAGCATGCCAACAAGTGTAATCACGAAAAACGGATACAGTATGGGAACAAAATAGACGTCTCCTCTATAGGTCATGGCCAGTGTTATAAATCTCCCACTGGCAGGCTACACTATTTGTTGGTGTATAACCCCCACTAGCAGGGTCACTCGAACAAACCGGTTCTATCAATAATATGTCAACATGTGCTAGCGTTTATAAACCTCCCACTAGCGGGCACACGAATAACATGACCATATCAGAGACCAAACAGGCAGAAGTTAACAAGAAAATCATAATTCAAAAATAATTTCCAGATCATCAGGGCAATTAAGTAAACTCCAAGAAGGCATGCTCAATTCAATAAAAAGAATAATAATTTCATTTCAAATCGATCATACTTGTGTAAAATGAGTTTAGTCCCGCCACCACTTCAAAAACAAGTTAAAACATACTTTAAAATTGGAGAGCGTTACCATAATTTACTTACCTCAATCGCATAAACTAGAAAACTCACTCCAAGAGCTAGGGCAACCAATGATCAAGAACCTAATCAAAATATTCCAAAATTAATACCGCCCTACAACAAATTCAAAAATTCAAAGTGAAATCATCATTAAGACTACCCCTAATCACAATGTTATTTCTATCACTCTCTACATAACCAGACATCTCCAAATTCATTCTTATATTACAAACTAAATATTTAAATCCCCGTTAATTGTTGGCCATTATCCGTGAACAGTACTCATGAACAGTGCCATGAACAGTATTGCAACTTCCAAAAATTGGCCAAAACACTAGCTAATTCACAGGATTTTTCTCCAAAATCTCACAGCAGCCAACTCAAGCTAATTTACACTTAAACCAAGCTCAAAACATGTTCAAAGGCTGCCGGAATTCATCCCCTATTTACTGCAGAATTCGGACAGCACATGGGGCAATAATTCATGGACAACAATTAATTGATAAATTCAGACTTGAAAGGGCTGTACATACCAGAATTTTCCCAGCAAAAACAGGACTGCAGGTTGGGGGAGGCCGGCGGCAGTGCAGGGAAAGCTCACGGCTACCAAAAATTGGAAGGAAATAAAAACAATTAAAGTAAACCCAGCCTAAATCAAGGTTAAAGAGATGATTTCTTAGCTGAATCTTACCAGAAAAATGCCCAGAAATTCGGGCCTAGCATCACCAGCAGACGGACAAAGCAGAGCAGATCTGGAAACTCCTGCAGGGGGGAGATTTCTAAGCTCCAAATCTGGTTCTTGAACAAGAAAAGAAAGGCAAAAACCAAGCTTCTTACCGGTTTCCTCAAGGGAGGGCTGTCGGTGGTGGCTGGGTCTTTGTTGCTCGGTGCAAGGGAGGAAAAAGAAAAGCAGGGGCACGCGGGTGAGGAAGAGAAAGAGCAAAACACGTAAATGGCTGGGGGAAAAAGAAGAAATATAAGCTGGATCCTTATCCAAAATTTCCTCTTTTAAGCCCCTTGAATTTAACACAAGTTGCCATTAGATTCACTAATAATATTTCCTCACAAGTTAGTCCCTAACTCACACTTATTTATTCTAGAAAATTTTGGGGTATCACATTTTTTTTAGATAAAAAAATGAATGATAGATTTTTAAAACTCAACTTTATTTAATTTAATTACATCATAATTTATAATACTTTGTTTAAATTTAACTTTTATTTATTTAAAAATTCTATAAAATATTAAAAATT